ATACTGATTAATAAGGTTTTTTTCCAAAAGAAGGAGGTTATGAGAGGAAAAGAAGCAGAATATTGAGCTTTTTGGATCCCCTCAATTCGACATAAGAGCCACCTTTTCCTTTTAAATATGTTACCAAAAACATCTTTGTTCCAAGTGAGTGAATTAGTAGCAACAGAAAATAGGTTGTCATGAATGAAAGATGCATGATTCCAAGAAGACTTAACAATATCCTTATAAGTAGGATGAGATAACCAAGCAGCTTCAAAACGAAAAGGATAATTAATAGGGTTAAGTTTGGTTATATCTTCAGTGTAGACCATAAGAGGTGAATGATCCAAATAAGTTCGAGGTAAATTTCTGACTGCTCTTTCGGGGAATGTGGTTTTCTATTCCGCATTGCAGAGAGCACGATCTAATCTTTCCATAGTGTTAGCCATTCCTTGCCTATTGTTGGACCAAGTGAATTTCGATCCTGTGTGGCCAAGGTCCATAAGTCCACAACGTTTAATGTTATCAAGAAACTTTCGGCATCTGTAGTCTGGTTGTTTTGGGAGAAACTCCTTCGTTCATTCTGACCCATGATATCATTGAAATCTTCCCTAACAAGCCAAGGGCTAGCCATGGTGTTTGCAGAGTTTTCCAATTCATTCTAGAGGTTTTGATGCATGCCAAGATTTGGGCTAGCATAAACTGCAGCTAGGACCCAATCTTCATAATTCTCTCTTTTCACAGTGGCTTTTTGGATAACTTGGGAATTGGCAATATGGGCACTAACAGAGACTTGTGAAGGATCCCAAATTAGCCATATACCTCCAACTCACCCAACAGGATCAACAATGGTAGAGGCAGTAAACCCCAGGTGATTGAAGAAAAGGCCCATGGAGCTAAAAAGAACTTTTGTTTCAAACAGAACCACAACATTAGAGTGATGAAGTCTAACAAGTTCTTGAAAAATTTTCCTGAAGATTTTGTTATCGGCTCCCCGACAGTTTCACAGCATAACATTCATGGATGAACGATTAGAAAAGTTGGGTAGCGGGTCTGTGCTAGCCAAACCAAGATATTTGCGCACTATCTTTTTAGATAGCTCTGATGGCCTTAGAGTTGCCATATGTGTTGCCTGCAGAAGTCTTCCGCCCATGCTCACCCACCTGGGCCCGATATTCAGCCTTATCTCTTTTATCCACCACTCGATGTTTACTAGGTGAATGACTATGCTCTCTAGTTCGAGATATGATCCCATCGAGCTGTGCCGCATCCTGGTAATTTGAGCTACTGGAGTCTCCGGGTCCTCGCTGATATTGGAGTGGCTGGAAGTGCTCATTATGGTTATCAGGTGGTTTCTACTTGAGATCAAAGGTAGCAGTGGAAGTGTTAGGGCTTTCGGTGGAAGGTGGGGGAGAGGGGAAAACAGGGATTTAAACTGGAGTGGGATCAAAATGGGAAGAAGATGGGTTAGAGGGAGTGGTTTCGGTAACCATCAAACTAGGTGCTTTACAAGTAGCTTGCACCAGGCTTGGTGTGGAGCCAGTAAGAAGAGTCACAGGTCTATCTTGTCCTTTACCAGCTGTGGTCTTATCTTTGATGAGTTGTCTCTCATCCTGTTGTCTATCAAAATATATTTTGTTCACTTCCGTGGGATTGCCTGCCTCAAAAGATGGTTACATTGCTGTGTGCTCCTTTCATATCTAGGTCCATTAGGCCTTTGTGCTTAGCTTTATCTTTGAGTCCTCCTATGCTTCCATTCGCAGCAAGAGGCCCAAACCTATTGGCAGACCTTTTAGAATTAGTAGTATTGGATCCAGTCTGTCTTACCATGGGATGGGGCCTATTGTTTCTCCTATTCACTAACATCCAAGGCCCAAAATCTTCTAGTTGTTCACGGTTAGCAGTAGGTTGTTTCCCTGAGGAGCTAACCGTTGGGATTGGATGTGACCCAGCGTCATGACCGTTAGGTGTAACTTCAGGAGTTGCCTTCACCGGCTCTAGTGCCAGCTTGCTGCTACAGTACTCTTTCCGATGCCCAACTTTCCTATAGTGGAAGCAAAAATAATGCAAATGTTCATATTCCACTACATACATATATTTGTCTATAGCAAATCTTGAAATTAATGGTTTTGCGAGATCCACTTCTACACAAACACGTGCATACCTTCCTCTAGCAGACATGGCAGTATTCAGGTCTATCTTAAGTGGTTTTCCAATAGCCTTTGCGATATGGAATAAAACTTTCTCATTGTAATATTCTATCGAAAGTTGTGGAAACCTTACCCATAATGCGGTGGCTACTTCGCCGGCCTCTAAGGGTTTGAAATCAGGCTCCCATCGTCGTACAGTTAGGTAGTGATCCATTATGACCCAAGGGCCTTCCATATATACTTTGCTACAATCAATTCGTGTTTCGAATTTGACTAAGAGAAAACCCAGACCCAAATCAGTGTCTTCAAAATCTCCTTGCAATCCCGAAATCCTTTTGAGTTTGCCGACGAGGAGTTTGTATCCTATAGTTTTCCCAAGTAATCTGACAATCAAGCAATCCTTCCATGGCCGATGAATGAACTGAATGAGTCGGGACAGAAGTTTGATTTTGGGGATGCCTGGCCCTAGACCATCATTCTGGGATTGATTTGCTTCCTCTATGACCTCGTTATCTTCTTCATCAGTAAGAAATTCATCATCCGAAAGTCTATCCAGGTCATTATCAAAGGCCTTCTCGTTGGCTTTTGTTGAGATAAGAGCTTGTTTGAAAGAACGTTTAGTTTGTTCCTCTGTGGTAGCTTGGGTCGCGTCAATCATAGCTTGATTTTCAGTGCTCTCTGTCGCGTTTTTGATATTCTTGGTGCTTCGCACCAGATGATCTTCTTCTTCCAGCTATTGGTCATTATGGTTGTCATCGGGTATTCTGAGAGCTCCAAGTTGAACGGTGGTCTCCATTTTCACCGATGTGTAGTAAAAATCCTGTTAGAGTTTCGTCCCTCGTTATAAAAGGAGAAAAAAATAAATAAAAAGAGAAAATATCATATAAAAGATCTTATTTGATTGAGTTATAAAACTTTATTTGATTGTATTATTTTATTTGTGTAAACTAATTTTAGTATTTTATATATGATTTTTTAAATATAAAAAGAAACACACGTTAAATACTTTTAATTTTTTACCAACTATTCATATAGATGTGGACTCGACACGTTATAGAGTTCACAATCATATAAATAATTGATAAATTTTTTTATAATGCGTCAATAGCAATTTTGGATGTATTTTTAAGTAGGACCATGTAAGTTCAAGATTTTGAGATGAAATAAAGGCTTGGTTGAGATTATGACATATATTAAGGTTAAGTTTGGCATAATTGAAAAAAGTCAAAAAGTCACTATCCTATTTAAGTCACATCATCTTATTTAACACATCACTTCAAACCCAACCCAAACCCAACTTATATTTCATAAAAAGTCAAAAAATACATTTATTTAGTCTTTCCAAACTAGGCCAAAATCTCAATCAATATACGACACTTAAGTTACGTGCTCCTAATAAAGATGTGATTTCTAGATTGGATTCCAACCTAATTAAAAGTGTACTCCTAAATAAGGGGGCCTTGTCAGACGAATTATATTTCTAAATGGAAAAAGAAACTTAAAAGGGGGCAAGGTATTCTTATTTAAAGGCTACACCCCATGTGATGGAGAATTTATATTATTTGTGTTATTGAGTAAGTGTTAAAGAGAGAAATTTATTGATTTAGCATCGAAAGACAGGGACAGATACTAATCTTGATTTTGCAACATATTCATCTTTAAAGTCCAATATCGTCTCACAATATCGGAAAAGACAATCTCTCATCTGGTATGATGTTTACTCACACAATAATGTTGATTGTTTTTAAAGGCTCGTATATGTGGCATTGTTTGGTTATAACAATAAAATAAAATTCACCTTTGTTCGTCAACCGTTAGAAAGTCAATTTTTTTTTTTTTTTCTTTCAAATATTTCTTTACTTTTTGTGAAATTTTGAAAAAATTGTATTATTAATTTGATAGTCTAGAAGGATGTAAAATATATATAGGTTCTAAAATTTATTTAAAAAACATTAAAGAAAAAAAAAACAACTTACTAAAACTTTTGTGATAACCCTAATTTTTTGTTTTTTAACAAAAAAAAATTATCTTAAAAAAAATACCAAAAATAATTTGCCAGCCTAAGGCGTCCTTTGGTATATGTTTGTTTTAGTCTAAAAATAAAAAAATTATTTAAAAAAATCAAAAAACTTATAACCTATTCAAAAAAGTTAAAGATTTTATTTTTTTGCACATCTTTTCATAAAAAATCAAAAATTATTTCAAATATATTAATTTTGTACCTCATATTTTAGTCAAAAATTATTAAAATAATCTGTTCCCGAACGAGGCTTCCTTAAAAGAATGTGTCCATATATTACCACACTTCTTATTCATTACGACTTCAAATTTTACAATTTTTAGTTTTTATATGTGAAATTATTATCACAGTAATGATACATAACTTTAATATTACAGTTTTAAATAGAGGGTCATTTTAGAAAGTGGGTTAAAAGTCACTCTCCAGTTTTTAACCGACTTCCCTCTCTTACAAAAAAAAGTTAAAAAAAAATTAAAAAGTAACTTTTAACCATCTTTTCAAAATAACTCAAAAGTTCTAGTGAGGTGGAAGAGAGAGAATAGAAAGAGATAGAGAGAGGAGTGTGGCCCTACCTTCACATGAGCACCCTCCACGCAATTAGAATTGCATTAAAGCTCTCAAGTTAAAATTTTCAAACATTATAAGTGATGTTACATAAACTAATTAGTATATAAATATTAATTATAAAATTATTATTGACCTCATTTATTATACAAATTATAAATATTAAAAATATCTTAAATTATATCACATCACCGAACATTATTCTTATTATCAACGGTACATTGAGATTTTCCAATCAAAACGAAACCTCATGAAAAAATACCATGCACTCGACTCCATAATAACCTCACCCTTAAAACCTATTCATCTTTATTTTTTCCTCTCCCTTCCTTATTTATAGTAGCATCTAATTCCGTGCCCCATCCGCTCTTCCAACCTGTCCCCCACCCACTTTCTCTCTCCTCTCTCTCTTTCCCTCAAACTCTCCGTCTTCTCTCCTTCACGTTACGCAACCTCTAACCCTCATATCCTTCGATTTCGCTATCTATTCATTCAATCTTTCTAAATAATTTGTAACTTTTTTTTTTTTCTCTGTGCAGGCGATTCAAGTTTTTAATTCACGAAGTCTAGCCAAAACAATATATATTTGAGCGATTGATTGAGCGAAATCAATCGCTCATATATATATATACATATATACACACAGAAATTTATAGATTATATATTTTATATAATATACGTCTCCGTGTGTATATAGAATTTTCCAGATCTGGAAAAAGAATGGCAGAGGAACAGAAATGGCAAGAACCAGAAAATCACAGGCTTTGCGCTAACAATTGCGGATTCTTTGGGAGTCCGACGACGCTTAATCTCTGTTCCAAGTGCTTCAAAGATCACTGCATCAAAGAACAACAAGCCTCCACTGCTAAGATCGCTGTTGAGAAGTCTTTGACGCAGGCTTCGTCATCGTCTTCTTCTTCGTTCGATTCCGTTTCGATTTTGCCGGAAATCTGTGAGGTTTTGTCTGCGCCGGCAAAGGTCGAGGCGGCGGCGGTGGTGAAGACAGCGGTTCCGGCGGCGGCGCAGGCGAATAGGTGCGCGACGTGCAGGAAGCGCGTGGGGTTCACGGGGTTCAAGTGCAGGTGCGGGACGACGTTCTGTGGGTCTCATAGGTATCCGGAGGAGCACGGATGCACGTTCGATTTCAAGGCTTTGGGGAAGGAGGAGATCGCGAAGGCTAATCCGGTGGTGAAGGCAGAGAAGCTGGAGAAGATATGATCGATCTAAGCCGTTGATATAATTTGGTGATGATGTGGAATCGGACGGTGGAGGAGAGCTTGGAAGCTCGGAGATTGGGTTGGTTGGTTGGGGATTTCCTTTTTAGCACATGTAAAATTGAATATATTTGCATTTACTTTCTCTCTACAATAACTTTTAGAAATTAATTACGATCCATCAAATTTGTGTGCTTTTGTTGTTTTTGATCTAAATTACTGTCTACTTTGTGGTTCGTTTGGTTTTACATTTCAATTTTTTTTTTTTTTTGGCATTGGATTTATGGTTTTGAGAGTTTTGAACAAGAGTCTCATCTTGATGGCCATAGCGGCGTTGATGAAATATGGATCAATGCGTTAAAAAATACAAATTCAAAATTTATAAATACTTGTTAATCAGTTTTGATGAAGAAAGGTGAAGGTGCTACTTCTTTTAGACTTTTCAACCAAATTTGATTATGAAAAACTTTAAAAAATACAAATTCAAAATTTAAATACTTTTTAATCAGTTTTGATGAAGAAAGGCAACTTTTTAGACTTTTCAAATTTGATTGTGAAAAACTTTAAAAAATACAAATTCAAAATTTAAATACTTGTTAATCAGTTTTGATGCAGAAAGGCAAAGGTGCCACTTTTTAGACTTTTCAACCAAATTTGATTATGAAAAAATATGGCTCCATTTGTAAGAATTTTTAATTATGATTTGAGAATATGAATTGTATTTTGAGTTTGTATATTTTAAAATTATGATTTGAGTATAAAAAGTTTTTTTGATTATGATTTTTGAATGAAGTGTTGAATTGAGTTTTGAATCGAATGTGGAATTGAGTTTTGAAAGTTTGATTTGACATGTGAAGTAATAAAATTTGTTTAGTTATGAGTTTTGAAAAGAGTTTTCAAAACTTAATTGAAATTGTTATAATTCATAACAAAATACATTACTTTCACGCTATTAAAAATTCTGACCATCACTCATAACTAAACTCTTTTTGAAATTCAATTAAAAAAAATTATTATTAACAGAAAATAACATTAATCAATTTTTTAATTAAAAATATTACAAAGGAAATAATTTTTTTTCAAAATAAATATTCAAAAAATTTGAATTATAAATATTTAAATAATCTAAAAAAAAATTGGGCAAATTACAAACACCTCCCTCGAGCTTTGGTGAAAATACAGATTTCCCACTGAGATTTGAGAAATTACATCCCGCCCCCTGAGATTTATATTTCTATAACAAATTGTTCTCTGAGATTTTTATTTTCATACAGATTCTCCCCTAATTTTTCCTAATTTATTATGAAAATTTGACTCTCAGGAGGCAATTTGTAATTTCTCAAACCTTAGGGGAGAATTTGTATTTTTACCAAAGCTTGAGGGGGTGTTTGCAATTTGCCCTAAAAAATTTAATAAGTAAAAAATTAAAATAAATATTCAAAAAATTTAAATCGTAAAAATTTAATAATTTAAATATTCAAAAAATTTAAATAATTTAAAATTTTAATATTTTAAATTTAAAAACAACTCTACACTCAAATCATAACCAAACACATAAAACAAAACTTAATTAATAAATTATTTTTAAAACTCATAACCAAATACATAACTCGAAACTCCATACTACTTTTACAATTCTACACTCAAATTGTAACTAAATACATAACAAAAAAATTAAAATATTTAAAAATATTTTTATAAAATAGAGTTTGAATTTATTTTTATAAAATATTTTAAAATATTAAAATTTAAAATGGTAATATTTAAAAATATTCAAAAAATTTAAAAATTTAAAAATCGTAACATATTTAAATATTAAAATATTTAAAATCTTAACAAAATTAAAATATTTATTTGAATTGAGTTTTGAATTATGTGTTTGGTTATAAGTTTTGAAAAGTAATGATTATGTTTTGAATTGAGTTTTGAGAAATGAGTGTAAAATTATAATTTGAAAACTCAAAACAAACACCATACTCAAATCAATGGGTAAAACTATAATTTAAAAGCCTTCCCAAAGGGAGCCTAAGGTATATCCTAGTAGGCATTTTGATAATCACGCATGAATCTATTATGTTATACAAATCCGACGCTAGAGTTGGTGTGAATTTTCACATTTATTTTGTTACTAAACTTGCTATTAATTAAAAAATTGTTTGTAAATTCATAAGTTTGTTTTTGATTTTTGATTTTGAATTCGATCGTATATAACTTACAATTTTATTTTGTTCGAAGGAAACAATTTACGCAAGGGAAGTGTTTTTTTAATTTCCGCAAGGGAAGTGACGCAAGGGAAGTGTTTTTTTTTTTTTTTGGTTAAAAAAACACTAAAAGATAAAATTAGTTAAAAAATAAAAAAAAAAACAAATTCAGACAAAATGCCACATCAAATTCATTATCATTTTATTTTTTTTCTCACAAATATCACATCCAACTATAAAAAAATCTAATTATCTTTCTAAATATAACAATTTTAATCTCTTAAAATAATTAAAAACTAAAAAAATCTATTAAAATAATAACTTCTCAAACACCCGCATTATATCATTTCTAATAAATCACATAAAATTGAATAGAATGGAGTAGGGGTGTCGATTCCATAAAAATTATGCGGCACACACCCCTCCCATTCAACTTGGTTTTATAAATTTATTTATTTTTGTTATTCTGTCTAATCTTTTTCCTTCTTGCCTACCAAGGGTATTTTTGTTTGTTTGTTTGTTTGTTTTTTTTTTTCAATTATTAAAATGCATTGTTTTAAGTTTTGGTTTTGAGATAGAAGATTTGATTCTAAGGGTGAATCTTACCTTGCATTGGGCGTTTAATCAAGAGAAAATTTGTGATAACTTTAATTTAGAGGATATCTAGGGTATTAGGTCCAGTGTATTGTTTAATCAAGAGAAAATTGGTAATAAATCTAATTTAGAGGGTGTCTTGGGCATTCAGTCCAGTGTACTTTTTTTAGAGGGCTGATATTTACTCTCACCTAATTACTTTGGCCCACCCACTTCTTTAAACTTCTACCTTAATACTAATTATACCCCTAATCCCAAAACCAAACCCTAACCCTAACCCTAATCCTAACCCCTTCCACTTCTCTCTCTAATCTGGATTCTCTCTTTGTTTTCTTGCATTCAAATCAAGTATGAGTGAGAAACAAAGCAAGAGAAAAAACCCATCAACAATAGCCACCATTAAAACCTCTATTATTGGCTATGGCTAGTGATTTCATGCATTCCTTCTCCCTCTTTTCTATTTTCTTCTTCATCTTCTTTTGAAAGGAAAATGCTATAGATCCCAAATAATCTAACAAATTTTCTACCAAAGCTCTCACAAAGTGTGAAACCCACACAAACCCACATATGTGTAGGTCCCATACCAATGTGAGAGCTTTGGTAGAAAATTTGGTAGATTATTTAGGGTCTTAGCATAACTCATTTTGAAAACCTTACGTTTTCATCTCTCTCTCTCTCTCTCTTTCTCTCTCACTCGTTCTCTTTCGCAATGGATAGAGAGGTCACGATGGCGGCGTGGGTTCGGCAACACAGTGCTGAACAAATCCTAAATGTTCGGCAATACTGCAACAACCCCAACCTATGATTAACTGTTAAACCATGATTAAGGATGCTAATAAGTAAATAAGAAGAAATTCTGAATTAATTGCATGTGTGTTACATTATTTGTGTTTCTATCTTTTTAGTGTAGAAAGATCTGTTGGTGTTTCTGTTTGTTCTATGAAATAAAGGCCTTATTAGCATCGATCACGAAATTGACTTAAGTTACGTGTTACTTGGAATTTTTAGAATTTTATGATAGGTTTAATTAAAATTTGATTTGGAATGATTAAATTAAAATAATCAATGTCCATTTGATTAACTTTAATTAATCACCATTAATCAAGCCTACATAAGGCTCCTATATGTGCCACCACTCATCTTTTTTTTTCCCTTAATCACACCTTTAAGCCCATACACACACAACAAACGCGAGAGAGAGCGAGAGAGAGAGAGAGAGAGAGAGAGAAAAGAGAAGAATTGAGCCAAGGAAGGAGAATTAAGAAGATAACCATACATGCATGCAAATTCTCTTGCATTTAGAGTGGGATTTTTAAGAATTCTTACATGCATACATTGATCATAGCTTGGAATACCATTTTACCTTGTTTGATCATGTTTTGAAAGGTTTGAAGTCAAGAAATTACATGTATGTTATGTTTTCAACATTTTAAGTTTAAGCGTGCACAATTGGCATGCTTTTTGTGCTTTGATTTTGTGAAATGATCTTGAATTCACCATGTTCTACAAGTTTACACATGTTTTCTTAAGCTTTTGGTCCAAAAAGATGTGTTTTGTAGCTTTGAATTTGGGTTTTGAATTTGGAAGAGCAATATGGAAATTCCAGATTCTGCTCCTCTGCTCGAGCAACCATCCTTTAATTTTGCACTTCCGCTCGAGCGACCAAAAGTTGGCTCGAGTGTAAAATGTATGCTCTTAGAAGTTCACATGTCTTGTAGACCGTTCAAGCGACAAGAGTTGCACTCGAGCGAGAACCTTAGTGTTAGACTTATTTATTTTGATGATTTATTTAATTATGTTTTAATTTATTTAAAAGAGAAAAATAGAATCAAAATTTATTTTGTCTCATTATTTCTCACCTAAACCTTTATCCTAAATGTTGTTAGAATGTATTTAATATTTGATTAAATCAGGAGTTCAAACTACCTAAAACAAAGGTTCAAATAGCCTAGCATAGCAGCAGGCCAAAAGGTTCAAAAGGTTTCAGTGGAAGATATTCAAATTAGTAATGATGGAAGTACAATGGCTATAAATAGCTATAAAGGTTCAAAAGGTAAAAATGTTCAAGTGGAAGATATTCAAAATGACAATGATGAAGTGGAAGATATTCAAATTGGTAATGATAGAAGTAGAACGGCTATAAATTCAAATGACTCCAACGGCTATAAATTTAAATGAATATAACGGCTATAATTTTCATTATATATACCAAAGTCTCTAATGTAAACAAGTTACAAAAATCTGAAAATATTCTTTGATCTATAATCACTCACATCTATTCTCAGAAATTATACACAGAGCCTTATAGCTTTAAGCCCATCTTTCCTGTGTGAGATTTACAGAAAAATCAAAACTTCATTTTATATATCTATCTTTGAGAGATATTTATTGTAAGCTTTCTTTGAAAGCAAAAATAAGGTTCAAGTGGAAGATATTCAAAT